TTTGTTCTTTCACCTCTTGTGACGTGGGGGCATCAGGTCGAGCATCTTGTTAAAAGTGAGCCATCTGTGTGCGTTTAACACACACACACACACACACACACACACACACACACTTGTTAGACCTGACTTGATTTTCATTTCAGGCTTTCATTACATGATGGGATGTAACGTAACAAGAGCCTTTTATTGTTCCTGTCAGAGACAATCAATGATCGACTAACTTTTCCACATAATTTGCATTCTTTTAATTAAAAAAGGCTAAATTGAAAAACATTTTGCGACACGCCTTAAAATAGATGGAAAGCCAAATGTTTAATCTGATGAGTAACCAGGAAGCCGTCTGTGTTCTGCGTCATGGTGATGGCGCTCCGGATGAGAGTGCCCATGCATTAACTCACATTGTGAAACCTAACAGGCAAACCGTGAGCGATGGGGTCCCGCTCCCATCAGCGTCCTGTTCTGCAGAGTCAGCTTTCCTCTGCCCGTCACCACTCTAGCCCCCCTTCTTCTGTCTCCATCACTTGTTTTCTCTTTACAACCAATGCACTTTAACTCTCCTTTCTGTCCCGCCTCCATCTCTCATCTTGTTTTCCTCCTCTTGTACCCCCCCATGCGTCCTCTCCTTCGCCTGGCGAAGAGACGCACAGCCCCTATGAACGGGGGAGCAAAACCAGAACCAGAGAGGCTCCATCATCCATTTGCTCTCTCCCTCCCTCTCATCTCCCTCTCCTGTTGTCTCGTCTCCCTCCCTTGCCGCGTTTACGATCACTGCACTTCTGCGTGCGCTGAGATGGGAAGCACACACAGAGGGCTCATTGCAGCCCAACCGATCCAGGTGGAAAGCTGCAGAACGGACTGACTCGTCCTAAAGAGAGCAGGAGAGAGGTGCAGGGTGACCCTTGCTGTCTCTGCAGTCACTTAAGACTCTCTACCCCGGATGGGGCATTCAGCAAGGGTGATACTTGCTGCCGCTTGTTTCCTGTAACTGCGAGGTATTCAACAGACTTTTCCGACTCCAGACATGGATCCAGGTTGACGCTGGATTGTCCTGGTTTTAACTGTGAGGGGAATTGGGTGTGGATTAGAATACTGATGTGGAGCACCTGAGCTTTGGGACGTAAACCTTCTGGGACATGTTTGGTTTCTCCAAGATGCCAAAGCTGTCTGGGTGAGTGCGTGTTTGGAGTTTTACACCTGGAATTTACACGTTTGCTTTCACATGGTTGCAGGTTATCATACAAATAGCCTTTTTTCAAATTTTGTGAAAGATGGACTTCTTCAAAAAAGCATGTCTCCGTTCTTATTCAAGTTTGCACCTAAAAAAAATCAGCCTTGCATTCAATTTTTTGTTTGTTTTAAAAAAAACTTTCTGGACCTTTACAGTGAAGTACAGCTTGGTATCAAAGCTAAAAACAAGAGGGGATAACTAATGGAGGTTGCTGTGTATTTGAGAGAAGTCTTTTTTTCTCCTTCTTCTGTTCTTCTATAATTTGAGTTTGAGTGACTAAGCAATCCTTATTTGGGACTCTCCTAGGTAGCCTCTGACTCGTTTTAATATTCAGTGATAAAATAAAAAAAGGTTTGGGGAAATGTGGAAAATGAGAGCAGGAATAGGATCCCAGACTACAGTACAAGGAGTCACCGGATGTTTGAAAGGATTAGGGAAGAGATATGCAAGAGAGGACAGACACTTACTAAAAAGGAAGGGTGATGAGCCAGGTGTGTGAGGCAAAGAAAGAGCTGAAACAAGACTGGCAAGTACTTAAAAAAGAAGCACGGGTTTTGAATCCCCTTAAATGTGCATACTTGCTGCAGGTATTTGGGAGTTCACAGGTAGAAGAGTCAGACCTCATATGGGAAATCTGTTTGGAAAAAGGTCTCATGCAGCCTCACATTTTGAACTTACAAACAGGAGGATGAATTTGCAGTGTCTGCAAATGCAATGACTTTTATCTATTAAAAAAAAAGAAGGAAGAAAGAGAAAAGCATTATTTTGTTTTAAAAGTTCCACCTTAAGGCAAATATGTCTTTGGTCTTTGATGTCAGTGATATTTGAACTGAGTATCTGCAGGTATCAAGCTGTTTGAATTGAGCTAGTGTATGAGGAAACATTAGAAAGCCAACTCCTTGCTTAATGTGACTCCCTGTGTGTCCGTTGCTCACACTCACTGATACACATGATCCTTGATTCATGTGTCGTCACATCACTAAGTCCACCAAATGTGGCTTATGACCAGTCTTTTCAACTAATATGCAAAGACACGCTAAGTTTTCTGTGTTTAGCATCAGAAGTGCATGAATGATGGAAAAGATCTTACATCTAGAGAAGCTGGAGTATAAATTTAAGGTTAAGTTGTTTTTTTTTAAAAAATAAATATGCTGCTAAGTTATTTGGTAAACAAACACTTGTTAAGATACTTGCTAAGTCTACTTTAGCAAGTGTCTGAAAGGAAATACTACACACTGTTAGCAACGGTTCTAAAGCATTGCAAGGTAACATTAAATCTTTGACACTTTGTACAAGAAATATACCAAAGGTTTAAAATCTAAGGCTTCAGTCACACAGGTGTAGAGACTGGTCAGCAACCCTGTGGCAACCTCTGGTCACAATTGCTTCAGTAGATGTGGTTGCCTGTAGTGTTTTGACATCTTGTACAAATGTTTTAACATATTTTAAAATGTACAGCTTTTCCTTTTGACACTGAACGGCTGCCGTTCCCTGTTTACATCGGTAACTGGTGTTTTAATTGCATGATTCATAAAATGCTGTAGAAAAATGTTTAATACGTTTACCGTTACCTCGTCCCTTCTGCAGCTGGTCCATCATGTTATTGTTTCTCCAAAAACACTTCCGTCGTCTTTTACGTCTTTTTTTTAATGAGCTACTGCGGCATTTTAAAAAACATTTCCACTGCTGTGTTTTGTGTGCTTTTGCAGCCTTTTTCTTAAGTTGCAGTGCGTTTGACCTCTCAGGGCCACTGCAACTCACTTGTTACACTATATAGTTGGCAAGTGTTTGCAGACAAATCTGTGTCTTCCATACAAACTATGGGAGACAGCAGCAATTTACTAGCAACCAATTCAATCTTTGGGACCCCAAAAGGTTGATTCTGTTCATCTGGACGTAGCGTTTTCGGTGGGATAAATGTTTCATCACTCATCCAAGTGACTCCTTCAGTCTCAGCTGACTGCAGGTTTCCCCAATCTTATAGACAGTACATTTGCACAATAACTGAAACTAGCACACTTAATGAGCAATGGGCTGTGAGGTCAGTTTCCTGATCCTTTATATGCAAATTGAACACTGATCAATGGCCATGAGTACCATTCACAGAGAGTTGGGGAATGGCTGCAATCACAGCATTGTAAGATGATGTACCCTTTAAGTGAAGGCTCCGTGCTCCTGCAGACTTTTCCAAAACACGGTGTTAAACTATCCTTATAAATCCTGAGAGCTCAACACATTCAAAATGTGCTTTTTATAAATAAAATGAAAAACATATATTTGGCGCATTTATATGGATGGATGCAATGCAGAAGCAACTGTCTACAGAGTGCATGTTTTGCACGCGATTGCATTTTCATCCTAATATGGTGTCTAATTTAAATAAATAGCTTCAATTTCCCCTCCCTGTGTTTTGTCAGCCAGTTGCAATGCACGGCACGCCTATTTTTACACATTGGGCTCATATATTGTAGACAGAAGGTAAAATAGCAAGAAATTAATAAAAGCATAACACTAACAGGCATCAAGAGAGTGCTGCACTTTGCGTATACCCAGATGGCTGGTGTGTATCCATGAGCTGCCACAATACAGTGTCAGAGCGTTCTGTTTGCAGATGGCGCACAAGCTAAATTTGCTCCATAAACTTTAATGAGTCGTGGATCTTTCATCACCTTTGAATGCTTGTTATAAATCATTCATTGTAAGACAGGCAGTAAAACAGCTGCAGCAGGTGAGGGGATCGGAGATCTTTCTGTTTCTGTTTGTTGTCTTTATTCTAATTGGGAACTAATGAGAGTTTTGTCGTCACACATCTGGCTCTATCTCAGGAACATTAACCCAGTCTGTCTTATCTAATCCAATGCATGCATTGTGAAGACAAACACAGGACCTTTATCAGTGTTTATAGGGTGGGAAAATCTTGGCTTTAGTGTGTTGGAATTTGGCAGTGAAACTAGCCAGCAGTGCTTGTTTGTGCTCTGAATATCAGATTACAGTTATCGGTGCCAAATTGCCGTCTGCTTTATGCCAGTACATGCTGCTTCTTCAGAGGGCATAGTTCCATTGTACAGAGAGCCATCTGACAAGTCATGGCACCCTAATAGTTTATTCATTTTTCAGTAATTCAAGGGCTTCATTACATAAAATGACCCATAATCCTTTAACTATTAACAATCTCGATTGCATCTTTGGAATTTCTGTTCATAATTCCACTCATTCACCCACACATAGTTGTCTGCATATGAAATATTGTCTTATTTAGTATCAGCCTTATCCCTTTCGTATGGTACTGAGCCATGCCTCATCTCTTTATGTTTAGCTTCCAAGAGGCCAGACTTTTTCTTGCTGAAAAGTACAATTCGATTTTGATCCACTATGTAATAACAAATGGAAAGTGTCTGGCTTGGGCGGAGATCGATGGTTTTCAGTATGACAACAATTCCAAAACACTGCCTATGAGGTAAAAGTATAACTGGATAGAAAAACACACAGTGGGGCACTATTAGTCATGGATTGGCCTCCCCAGAGCCTGACTGTCAGCATTACTGAAGCAGTGTGTTTCAGACTCCAAGCACATATAAATTGGAAAAAAAATTGAAATGTTTATTATATGTATAACATATATGTAACATTTCTTTTCTGAGAGATATTGTGGCAAAAAATAAACTAAAATCATGAAAATATAGCTTAGTTTAGCATAAAGACTAGAAACTGGTAGCATGACTTAGTTCATGACGGTGTGGGCTGACATATTTTCAAACATCCACTATATTGCCAAAATTATTTGCTTGTCTACCTAAGCTCACATATGAACTTAACCACTTCAACTCTTCTGGTAAAGCTTGTTTTGTGGACTGGAGAGCAGTCATGCTGGAGCTATAAAAAGCCGATGCACACCAGCCCTGAACTGTTTTTGTTGACCAGAAGGTCAGCTTGGTTGCAAAAAGACTTATGGCTATATATTAATCATAAAATAATGATAATAATAAAGTTTATTTGTGCAGCACTTAAAAAGCTAATCCATAGAGAGAAAAAAGATCAAATATCATGGAGTAAGAGATTATTGATTTGGATTTTATGTCATTGTCCTTAAAAAAAAGTATAGAAAGTGAAGGCATTTCCCACTTGCTGCCATAATCTGATTTTAACATACAGGATTTAGAAGAAAATCCACTGTGAGCTTGTGGCTGTGCTTATCAGAATGAATTCAAGTTGAGAAAATTAGTTGGTCCTTTCGTCTTTAACCTGTTCATTGAAAGCATTACCGCTTTCAGTTTTGAATCATTTGTTTTCTTCCACCTCCTTCCTGCCCTCCAGCATTGTCTTATTAATTCGAGGTAACGGCTGAGTACCATGTCTAGTCCTTGGCTTAAAAGGTGCAGATGAATCTAAAGTGGATTTACAAAGCAGGTTAAAATACTCATCAGTTTTTCTGTGTCTGAGTTCCAGCCGAAGATTGTTATGCCGTCTTAATCGCAGAATGCAAAAAACTGCGGTCACTGAGCAATGACAGATTTCTCCTAGTCACGAGGAGGCTGTTGTCTTATTTTTACTTCTGTGTGATTGAGGCACAAAGCTTACAGTGTTTGCTTCCTAAAATTCAGAGGTGTTTGTTGGATGGCACAGAGCACATGCTGTACAGTACCTCACACTAAAAAATCAAATACAGGAGAAGGAAAAATAACATCAAACTACAGGGCAACCACCCCCACTCAATTTCTCCCTTTCTCACTCTCCGCCTATAACCCTTAAAGTTGCACGTTTTTCTTGATTTGAGTCTGGATAATCCTCCTAAGGGATTTGGTCGGTGATCACTGCGTGGGGTGGGGGTGGGGTGGTGAGGGGCTGTGCCACATATCTCTCTCTTTCTCTTACCTCTCTGTCTGCTTCATATCGCAGCCCATCCATCCACTTATCCGTGTACTTTACCAGCTTGTAATTTA